AGGTAGCCAGTGCAGAGACTGTAAAATTGGGGTAATATGATCATATTTTCTTGACCTGGTAAGGACTCTAGCCGCTGCATTTTGGACTATCTGTAGCTTGTTTATTGAAGATGCAGGACAACCAGCTAGCAGTGCATTACAATAGTCCAGTCTAGAGGTCATGAATGCATGAACTAGCTTTTCTGCATCAGAAACAGGTAACATGTTTCGTAGCCTGGCAATGTTTCTAAGATGGAAGAATGCTGTTTTTGTAAGATGGGAAATATGATTTTCAAAAGACATGTTGCTATCTAATATAACACCCAGATTTTTTACTGTAGAGGAAGTAATAGTACATCCTTCTAGTTGCAAATTGTAATCCACGAGATTCGTTGTACTGTCTTTTGGTCCAATAAGTAATATCTCTGTTTTATCCGAATTTAATAGGAGAAAAGTATTGGTCATCCAATCTTTTACATTTTTAACACACTCTGTTAGCTTAGATAATTTAGAAGTTTAATCTGGTCTTGTTGAGATATATAGTTGAATATCATCAGCATAACAGACTCGCTATCGTTTCATAAAAATGCAAACAGCACCATTTTCCAGTTGTCGACTGTAGTGATGATGACCACAGTGTAATTAAATATTATTGCAATATTAGTTTCAGTGTTTATCTTCTAGCCAGGGAAATTGTTTTGTACACTGTGGTGGACTGTTTTTTTTTAATTGAAGAAGGTTTAAGATAATTTGTATAATAGCAGTACTCCACGTACCTTACTGCAATTATCGTTACTCTAATTATGAGTATAATCACATTAACTTAATCACAGTATTCTGGTTTACATGAGTTTAATTGCCTGCTCGCATTATGAACATGAATAATGTCTGCAGTGTTCAAGGGAATCAACCTGCTAATGTCTCTGCAGCCCGATTTCATACTGAAGTGCCTCCACTTTGGCCTTGACTCAAACCCTCATCTGTTTTTAGGTACAAAAAGGCAGGATATTACTTCATAATCGATGCTATGAATTAGAAAGTCCACTTTGTTGTGCATATAAATTTGCATATGAATTCACGCCATGAACAAATCAGTCTGTTCAGTCGCTGAGGCTAAGACAAATGGTTCCGTGAATGCGCAAATGTGAACTGCACATATGGTCCTAGTTTTGAGCGACTGGAGATGCATTTTATCCTGAAAAGCAGCTGAGGCCTGTCCCGAGGGAGGCCGCTATGCAGCAGCTGGTGTCAGTGATGTTCTGCCAGCATTCAGTTGTGACGTGAAGTGCCAAACAACATTCAAATTATATTTTCAATCCCTCCATGGAGCTCATCAATTTTTCAAGTCAGTGCCAAGTCCAGACGTCTTGACCAATGATGCAAGCTGTCATTACACTCTTAAAAATAAAGGATGTTTGTTGGCATCAATATTTCCAAAGCCTTTAATATCCAGGAACCTTTCCAACCCACAAATAGTGGAAAAAAGTTCTTCAGATTAAAATGTTCTTCAAATGAAGAAAAAATAACATTGTTCTATTAGGAGAT